TGTCTGACGCGTCTGCCTCCGCGACCCGAAAGGAGAAGCGGCGATGGAAGATGAAGATGAAGAAGATGATAACTTCTACGCTGGCGAATTTTGGGTTTACATATTGCACTGATTATCACGTCACTGAAAGTCAATCATCAGGTGCATCAACTGCAAAGAGTAAGGTCTTCTGGTGACGTCTGGCCGAGGAAGTGCTGCATCACATGTGGGCCTTGTGCTCCCTTTCGCCTTAACCCATCTGATCCAGTGAATAAAAATCACAACCAGACGTAAACTGAATACTTAAAAAATTATGATCAAAAGCATTAGAAATGGTTCTCATCGTCATCAGATTTATGGTATACGATTACTCCACATATTCGGTCCTGAAATAATCAGAGGGGTCTTCCTCTTAATCATTAATCTTGCTCAGCCTAATTTCAATGATGCTTTGTACAAAGTTTGAAAAACAATAAAGGGAACAAACTTAACCGTTTTACATCAAGAAAGAATTGGAAGCAATACGGAAGTGGCAACCATTCTAGAACGAATGGAACATACCAGGTAAAGAAGCACGAAAGCTGATTGACAAAGAACACAAGGCATTCACTCAAGCCGTAACCTGCACGGAAGCAACTATGCAATGAACAACGGACCAAGGTCAGCTACTAATTCCAAAGTTTAAAGCTGCCAAATGCCTTTGACTATGTGAAAATTTACGAAATTAGAGTAAAACAAAAATGAAAATCCTTGTATCACCTGAAGGAAGGATGCTACTGTAGCTTAAAACTTGATACTTGATCAAAACGTTATTACGTTCTCGCCATGAATATGTGTACATGAGTGTTGCCACGGTTGAAAAAACGAAGGTTGCAGAGCATCCTTCGATCGCTTAAGTAGACTTTCACTAATGCCATAAATACATTTGAAGCAATGTTACTAATAAACTCATATGAAAAATTTACCAATCGACCAAATGAGTTCACAGAGCATTAAGAGATTGCGATACAATTACTACAAGAATAATAATCTGTTCCATCCTGTGGTGGTATCGATGTATCCACTCTGCGCTATCCAGCGTATATTCTTGTCGTCCACTCGTCTGCAGCAAAGACTCAACTCTAAAGAAGAGCTGACAGTAAGGACGGAGTTTCCTTACGCTTGATTACTTGGAAGTTTAATCAAGAGTGTGTTAAACAGATAATCGGTTTTGACGATTAGACACAGTTGCGTCCGATTCTAGAACACCGATTTAAGGCTGCTGAAAAACCACTCTTTAGCTGAAAGTTCCATTAGGACTTCGTAGATTATTTTATTTCTTGCAGTGCGTATAAAGATGTCAAATCAGATGTTTCTTTAGTGAAATAATAAAGAAAACAATCTTTCATTCTATCTTAATAGAAGCTTCGACCCCATTGCAGCAATGCACAAGTGCTTTTTTCGATGTACAGATCGATTTTTTTCTTCTTCGTTCTCTTGTCCTGTGGCATCCGCGACGGAAGACGCCGCGCTTTGTAGAGTCACTGCGCATGCTTGCTCATTCTTAAATGCTTTTTATGCCGTGCCTGATCTGGCGGCATTCCTGCATTTTGTTTGAAGCCTTCGTAGGCCATCTACATTCAGGCATTGCGACAGTCAGTCTCGTCGCACGGCGGTAATCATCCGTTCCCTTACAGTTGTTTCTTCATGTTGCACATATGGATTGCCAGCCTACTGATTACTTTAATAGAATATTCCGATCTCCCTTTTATTACAATGTTAAACTGCAAGTCGTTCACTGCAGTCATGGTACTTACCTCAAAATTTTCATTTCGGCTTTCAAATCTCGATTTTCTGCTTCTTTTAAAGCTGCCATCGTCGTCGTTGCCCTTCTAAAGCATGAATAGTTCATCCATCCCTACTAATGCAAGCGCGCAGCGCCTTTAATCTTCGAATGGGCATTTAAATCCCTTTCATCTGATTGGACATGAACAAGAGTGCGCAATGAACTCTTTCAGGCCTTTAGATGCGTGCAGATTTTGACCATGTAATTAGTTGTGGATAGCAAGACTAGCGCTTTTCCCAAATAGTGCTATTGGCTTTGAAGCGATGAACAAATGACGAGGAATGAAGTACGTTTTTTACCATTCGTTCACAAAGACTGCGGTTTTGCTAAAAAAATAATCACAAAGACGAGAATTATTTCAGTTCAAACGAATCCGAAAAATTTGCATGATGTGCTGGGACATATTCCGCTATTGGTGCCGTATTAGCGGCGCGAATGACGATAAATTGTAGCATTGCGTTCTGGATTTTATTGATATCAATTCTACTTTACAAAATCTAATAGATGTGACACTGTAAGTCTCGAGAAGAACTCAAACAGCTCCTTGATTTGAAAGGTCTAAGAAACGCTAGTGTCTATAAACACAATATACAGTAATGGGTTGCATTGTTTAATGTGTAAATAAGCTGTTAATGTTAATATTTGAACCTGGAAATCTGATATATCGTATAAAACCAATTTCAAACTATTCCGGATTGAATGCCGAACATACGCAGATAAGATGAGCTTGTGGCGAAAATTGTTGTAGTCGAAACCGTTTTACATTTTTGCAAGACGTTTCCGGCCTTAAAATGAGCATTACTGCAACTCAGAAAGTAAATGATTGGAAAAATGCTTTCAAAAAGATTCATGGCAAGTTTCCAAAAATGGTAAGTGTTACTACTATTGTTTCGGAGCACTACCTTTTACTACATTTTTCTGATCCGTCTGTCTTGCTTTTGAAACTGCATTTCCTTAGTGTAAGGTATAAGTATTGCTATAAGTTCATGAAGTAGAATAATACTTTTATGTGCGTGAGAGCTTCGTGTTTATAATATAATTTGACGTTACTCTGTATGTACTGGATAATTTGTTAGTTGCAGCTTGTAGAATGTTGAAGTTCCATTCGGGAGGGAATGTTCTAACATTGTTTGTTATGCTGATGGCCTTTGTATATTGCTATTATAAAGCCTCAGATTCTCTCCTAAAAATTCTAATGATTCGATGATAGAACTTTGACCAAATATCGCCCCTGAGAGAGCAGAAAAAGATGTTTGGCAAAAGACGGTTGTTCATAGATTTGACAGTAGCACGAACCACTCAGTCCTTTTCAGCTTGATATTTTTTAGGTATATACTCTTACAAAAGTATACATATTTACATGGTGCTGCCGTTCAAACCTCGTCATGGGGATGTTATTTTCTGAAATCACTTCTGACGGTTTTTCGTCTTTCTTCTTCGGATTTCTGTGTTGGAATTCATTTCTACTCCTGAAGTTTCTATGGGCGTTATAAATCTCCCAGGAGTGCGTAGGGTTGCTTATACACAGTTAAGGGTTTTTACGAACCTAGGTCTAATGTGCAGCCCTTATATTTTGCATATACTATGCATAACATAATTAAGATATTAGCGGATGACTGTTATCCTAAACATATATGGTTGGTTTTGATGCCGTTCCTTAAATTATTACCAAATCTTTTAGGCCGACATTTGTGTAGCACCTGCTGCTGTCAGAGGTACCAATTTGAATTTCTGTACATCGTTTAATAACCTCTGTTTTAGAGGCCTTTACTATTGTTAATGGAAAAGGAAGACGCAGTTCATCGGATGAACACGTGTGCAGATTAAAATGGAATGCCGATTATACATTCAATGTACGAATATCGGTGATTACGAACTGCATTAACTGATTTATGACTGAGTTGTAATTAGCCGATCAAAAGCAATCCGTAGCATTACCAGCATTTAATGATGCCCCACAGGCAAACTCAGCTGCCTTAATATCGAAGAATGCGTGATCGAATCTGCCACCCGTAATGCTCTTCCTTATATTTAGAAGCATGTTTTTCTCTCAGAAGTTTATGGCAAATGGCGTATAGTTTGCCTATATTGGCCCGCTATTACTTTCTGCTTGTAGGAGCCGCATCTTCAGATTTTAAGGTGGTCCATGCGCTCTACCAAAGTGATGCCATGTAGACGTTGGGCGTTCCATCTATGACTCTTGATGACCTTTTCGAACTTACCGATGCCGATGCTTTAGTTGTCGTCCTGAATAGATAGCTGATAAATTGATAAGTCCGAGGAAGTCTAGTCTGCTGTCACATTCAAACAGTGGGGTGACTCTAGAATGCTTTTGGAACAAATCCATCTGGGAAGTTCAGACACGTCCGTTGTTAACTATGGAGACGGATGATGTGGTATGATCATCTTCTGATGATCTAAGCATTATTTTGCCAGGGATTGAATGCTCATCGACTACGTTCTATCCTTCAGTCTAACACTGCCGTAGAAGACTGGGAAATAGTAACGTTTAAATGCAGCTATGAGAGACCTCAGGTTCACTGACTTAGACAATCCCA